GTAAGTTGCCGAAGAATATAATTCTGTAAGCATGTTACAGTAAAAATGCAATTGTCTTTGTCTTCTGATGTTAATTACATTTGTACTTGTGCTAGTTTATTTAGTTATTTTTAAATAGCTGATAGCGTTTTCCCTTTCTCCTCCATACCTATCCCAACCATGTATAGTTTTCTCGTCGTAGGATTTGAGAGCTTAGATTTTCAACTTTTTATTGTACCTAACGATGCTGCAAAAAGAATGTGTTGTGGGGCATATGTTTTATGTGTGCTTTTAAAATATTGCTTTGGGGCAAATTATCATTCTGTTATGTGCATGGTTGTCAATTAGTTAGCTCTGTTGTGCATGCAAGAAATATTTGGATGTAATGACTGATCTTCCCGCAGTCTTAATCATCAATTAATCAGCTAATCTGCTTGTTTAGGAGTCATTTTAATGATACAAAATCAGCATGATAGCTGTACGCAGGAAATTCTCTTGCATGTTGTTTTTAATCCGCTAGTCTAATCTAGTGTTATTAGATCCAATAAAAGGAAATTTCAGGCTCTTTGACCTCAATTAATATATACCTTTATAAAAACTAAACTTTATATTGCATAACTTTACAGAAAGTTATATATTTAGTGACTTAAATGTTTATCTAATTAACTGGAATTTCATCATGATTATTGATGGTGGGGAATTGTTACACGAATGTTTTTGTGAAGTAATGGAGCATTTTTACTGTCACTAGGCATGATAAAACTATTTCACTGGCATATTTAACCTCCTCCCTTCTCTACTTCCCATTCAGTTGTTGAACAAAAATGTAGAAATAGATGGAAATTTTCTGAGATGAAGAAATCAGACATTTATTATTTGTTTATAATGCAAGTCTAGCAAAATGACACAAGATTATGATGATAACAATAATAACAGAGTAACTTTGGACCCATTGATTTATCTACAGTTGCTATTAAATCAGCATAGTTCTTTTTTACTTGGTAGAAGGCATATCAGTCATCTGCATCTAGACATTGCACTCACTTGAATAGAGAAAACACAGCGGGCATTGAAAGTGCCACTTTCCTTCTGCCCTTCCACTTCCAGTTATGTTTTGCTACATCAAACATGGGAAATTTTACTGTATTATTCTTCATATGTTTACAGAAATAAATTCCTTTATTTGATAGGGTGTTTATACATCTGTTAATGTGTATAGGATTTTATTTTGTAACAGATTCCCCTCACTCCCATGCAAAGCCATGATTCTATATTAGGTTTATTAATATAATGGCATGATGCTTTTTGAAAAAATAGTTGAAGTTACTCTCCTTTTAAAGTGAAAAGTGATATGATTTCTGAGAAAAATTGTTTGTGGAACCCATCAGTATTAATGGGACAGGGATGGGTAAACTTAGGAGTATTCTTATTGAGAGTGCAATGCTAGCCATACCTACTCAGAAGTAAATTTATTTGAATCAAATAAGGCTGATTTATTGTTGAGTGCAAGATTGTAGCCTTTAAACTGCCCTTCCGCACAGCATTAAGCATGCTTATTTCTTGTAGGTGTCAGTTTCATGACGGAGTTTATATTTCTCTACAGAATTTTATTTACACACACTGTATCAAAAGAGTGTAAAATGTTTTTGAAATATATTTTGGAACACATAGGAATACAATGGGCATGTTGCATGAACTTTTAATTGAGAACATGAAATTCTCTTGTGGTATATGGAAGCAGCCTATTTAGTTTTTTAAACTCTTGCAACTTCAGGTTTTTGCTTTGTTTTTAAATAATAGAGATGACAAGAAGCTTGGTATAGACAGAAACCCTGCATTTGCTATAGCCAGCTTATTGCAAAGTAACAGTTTGATTGTGTGAGCATAATTCACTGATTTGTGAAGCCTAAACTTTCAGGAAGGACAAATTAAAATTAAATTTCTCACTGTTTCTGTTGGAGAAGGGATTCACATCTGAAAGGGAATGTCAGCTATGTTTCCTAGATATATAGCAGCAAATATGTATGCCTGTTGATTAGTGACAGTCCAGTAAACGTCTGTTAGAATGAATCTGGCCTTTTTAGTGTAGTATTAATAGAAATGGTGAAAGAAGAAAAAAATGTAGAACTCAAAAGAAGAATTATGATATAGTAATACAACAATCTGTTTTAATGCAAACCAGATAATCTCTGTATCCAGCTAGCTCTGTGTGGGCACCTAATGACAAGGTATTATAGGAACAATACTAGTCACCTTTTTTATTCTAGCAATGTCAGTAATGGTTCCTGTCATTTGCTTCATGGCAGCATATTTTCTCTCAAGGCTAAGTTTTATTTGAAATGAAATGGTTGTTATTGTGAGGCACAGATATTAAATGCAGTGTTTCTTTTTCTCTTTAGCTAAACTAGGTTTTTCAAGAGTACTTCAGAAATAATCTTGCTATTATTGTGTATCAATGATTATTTCTGCCAAACAATTAGAAGTCATGCGAGTGTATTGCTGAAACATGTTGTCTTAAAGCAGCCTGTTAACTGTGAATTAACTGCATGTTTTCAGTTACAGTTTGAGATAGAATCACATATTTTCTGAGCCCAGTATGTTTATGATTACTAAAAGACATCAGTACTTTTTACAATATGTCAATGGGTACTATAAAATTTCTTAGGTAGTCCTGGTGAATCTCTTGTGTAGTTTTTGTGCCAATATATCACTTAGGTGAGCTCACATGCGCAAATACATGGTATAAAATGTTCAGCACCTTCAAAATAAGCACTTTTGTTTTCTGATTCATCTTCTGAATGTGCAAATGCAGTTTGAGAAATGGTTTATTACAACAACTCAGTTTATTTTATACCTTGTATTGCTTGGGTAGGGATACTTTCTGGTTGCAACCGGGTGTGTCTTTCAACTTCTTGAACAATGGCAGAACTAGGAATTTTATTCTCTTAGGAACTATACTCTATAAATATGTCTAAATTTTCCCTTTGTACTTCTTTGTAAGTTTATCTGTATAGAAACTCCTTTTGGGAAAGCTTTGGGGAGTCAGAGGAAGTGTACAATTATCTACACAGGTTCTTTAAATTCAATTGACTTAGGTTATATTTAAGTTACCAGTGTGTAGAACTGCAAACCCAGTTCAAAGACTCTATGTTAACTTTGGGACCTGTACACCCTTGTTTTGAGGAAATGAAGATAAATGGTTCAACTGCGATTTAAATCATTTATGCTTGTGGATTTCTTTCTTTTCTGGGCAGAGTGCCGGGGCACCCAATTTCACATATGTATTTAATAGATTTTCATTTTCCCCACATGTATGGGTTGGTAGCTTTTTTGCCCATAATTCTTACAGTTAAAAGCAGGCGGGCAGGAAGTGTGAGGCTCTGATTGTCTGAATACTTATTTAGGAGTGAGTCTTACTTCTGAGTAAAGACACCTGGGAACAGGAGGCATCACTATGAGGTTTTGTCCCAGTGCTTCTGAGTCTTGTGAAGTGATTAGTGCTGCTGTGGAAGTATGTGTTGACAGCTGTGCTTAGGGATGTGAAGAAACCGTTAAGTGCTGTAACATTAACCTTTTCAGTCTGTCTCATGCAAAGTGTGAACTTAGTTTTGTTAGGATGTGCAGCAACAATTGCCTCAGCCTGCTGCTCTTCCATGCTCCCATTACCTTTCCTCATCGGTCTGATTGCTTTCTGCCTCTCTGTGTTGACATGGAGAAACTCAAAGTCAGTGCTGCACAAATACAGTTTGAAGACTGATATAAGGCATCACATTTTGATACCTAAAACAAATTTAAAAATCAAGCATCCTTTTCAAGTCGTAACTGAGGCACCCAGGAAGGTCCAGCCACTATGTATCTGAGCACACTTGAAGGGGTGCCATTTATTTTCAAAAGAAATTTCTGCCATCAGTCATGAATGGCTCCACCACAGAAAGAGAGATATCAAAAGAGCTCAGAAAAGCAACAATATTCTTTCATGTTCTCGAGTACTCAGACACTTAGGAGATTGTTTCCAAGGAGGGAAAAGAATTGATCCTGTTTTGAATTCCTTGTTGTTGGCATTTGCGAACTGCGGTCTGTATCGAGAGTTATAAAAATTAAATTTCTGATCCATTGAGCTCATAATGTGAATACAAATTCACTTCTGGCATATGCACCTGTGAACCACATAGAAAAGTGTGACTGGGAAGCAAAAACACTGCCACAAAAGACTGGATGCTTAAACATTTTACTACATCCACATTACAGCTTCTTTACTTAATATTACTGCACAGATTTTTCATGAAGAACAGATTTGAAGCTCATGCAAACAGCTGCAAGTTTCATTGCATTCATTTGGGATCATTTGAAAGTTAAATGTGCATAGAAGTAGTCTCGGCTCGCAAAAGCTGCAGCATGAACATTTCCTTCCAAGTGAATCCTAACTGAATTCAGTGTAAACTACTTCTATAGAAGATGTATATAGGATAGGGCTCTAATAGCTGCCACCTAATTACCTCCCCTAGCAGAAGTCTGACTTTGTAAGAATCTGGCAGATAAAGGCTTTCCGAACACTTTTATCTTTGTTCCAGCAAACCTGCTTGTTTCCTCTAGTCAGCTGCTGTTCAATACATAGAAGCAGAGCTAGAAAAAAATATGATGACCAAATTGGGACATCAAAGTCATTATCATTAAGAAAAGAAGATGCCTAGCAGGCATGGTAGTCCAAGAAAATGTAGGAATTCTGGGAATGGAATTGTTCCAAAACTTGGAAAAGCCATTTTTGACTGCAAGTCCCAGGATCCCCTGGCTGACATGCTGGGAGTTGTAGTACAAAATATATTTTTTTATCCAGCCTCAGTCACAAAATAAGAGGAAGGAGAATTAAAAGGACAGTGAAACACTTTAATATGAAAGTTTCTCTATTAGAAATATGGATACTATATTCTGACTTTTTTTTTGTAAAGGCAGTGAGCGAGTACATTTATTGCTCAAATACAGAACTGTTTGTACCATAATTGTCTACAAAGCATTTAAAAAAC